ATTCAACTTTGTACATTCAATGTTTCAATTATTAATGGATGTTACAGCTGTTTCTCCTCATTTTAAGTTGTGTCTCACCAGCAAATGGAAATCCCCAAAGCTTTACTCCATTTGCATCATGATAGTCAACTTTAAATTTAGGAGACCGCTCTACCCTGATCATATTTTGACTGCCTTTCAATCTGAGGAGCTCATCTTCTGGCACTATATCTCAACAATCGTCTGGTGCTATTCATAGTGTTATCATATTCCTTCTCTTTATATGACAGTGTTCCACTACTATTCATAGAGTTTCAGTAGCTGAGCATCCAGGAGTAGTCTGCCTTTTCTTCTTCTTCTAAGTCTATTTCATTCTGGAAGCTCCACTGAAATCTGTCCATAATGGGTGACCCTGTTGGTATTTAAAATACGATTGTTCTACCTTCTAGCATCACAACCACATTGAACAGCACATTACAACAAGCTAACAGACAAATGGTGGAATCTTAACTCCTTAGCCTTACCTTAATTTTATTCTTTAGCAACTCATTTTAAAATAGGCCCATAATCATCATAAAATGAAGAAATTTGACTAGAAGTGTCATAATGAATAATCAGCTGCCCTGCACATAGGTTTTAGCATTTAACAACACCACAGTACAACACACTAGCAAACTAGTGTACAACATAATGGTGGTTGGTGGTTTTGTGCCATGGAGTCGGTTCCAACTCCTAATGACCCTAAATAGAGTTTCCGAGGCTATAAATCTGTACAGGAGCAGAAAGCCTCAGCTTTCTCCCACTGAACAGCTGGTAGTTTTGAACTGCTGACCCTGAGGTTAGCAGCCCAATTTGTAACCACTATGCCGTATGAGCTCCTTATACAACATAATAGGGACTCTTAAGTATTTGTCTGCTAATCCTGACTGTATAAGAAAGAAACCAGTTTTCACCACTGCCACCACTACACAAGGTTACAGAAATTTAAATTAAGCTATTTTGTTTAATCTCATAAGCTGAATGGTAAATAAGTTGACTACTCAGGATGCTGATGATTTTACAGTTTTTCAGGACAGTTGATTATAGATTTTATCCATGTAACGTTTTAACGTTTTACTGTAAGTTTAAAGTAATATTTAATAATAGAATTTAAATTACTAAAAAATGTAAATGGCAAATGACTTACAAGTAGAACATTTGTCTATATTTAATTAAATTGTTTTGGTCATTCTGTATCATTTCACTCTTTCCCTTTAAATAAAGGAACTCATTTTCACTTACTCTTAACACACTTCAAAAATGTAATTAAAAGTTGATGTGTAACTAAGATACTGTGTATAGGGAATGGGAAATATTTACTGTCTGTGCAGTGCAAGTTAGTTGGATATACAGATCTGATATTACGTAGATAAGAATTTTCCATAAAATCTCAAGCAATGTGTTTGAAAAGGAAAGCACTAACATAATATGTTGCTGTTCATTCAGACAATTGTTTTCAAGCTTCCCTCACCATTTTCCAGTATTCTTGGTGAGGCGCTGTAGGATAAGCATAAACTGCAAACTATAAGGTCAGTAGTTGCATCTCACTTATTGCTCCTCAGAAACTCTATTCAGGGTAACTATAGTCAGAGTCAACTCAAAAGCACTTAACAACAGCAACAACAAAATGAAAGAGTCACTCATATTAGGTTACTGTTATTGTTGTTGAGTGCCGTAGAGTAGGTTCCAACTCATAGTGACCCTTTGTAGGATTTGTATTTTAAAAGTTCATCACATTTTATGAAAAATGTTTCCCCTGTCACTTCCATATTTACATTGTTCAGACCCACTTCACTTGAGTATTTTGTTATTTAGATTAATAACTCATCAATCCATTAGTACAACCTTTTTTTAATGGTACCTTTCTTAGTGTTGTGAATTGTGCTGTTTGGAATTCTTGAAATGCTATAAACCACCAGATTGCTAATTGCTTTGGAAGCTGTGAAAAATAATTACTCCACATTATTTTTGATATTTAATTGACAGTGTAATGCTTTTAACTAAAGACCTGCAATAAACTATTTCTAATTACTGAGGGTGGTGGAGTGTTAAAGTAGGCTGTAAAACTTTACAAGTGAAACAATGTTTTCTCCATTACATTAAAAGTCATTGTTGATGTAATTTTATCAGGGACAAAAAAAAATATGCCTTTAAATAGAAAGTTATGAAAAAGCTAAAACGAGTCATGATATATTCCTACACATGACATATTAATAATTTCTTTATTATTATTATTATTTCTGAATAAATTATACTGGTAATGGATGTCATATATCAAATTTACTATAATTGCACTAAAAATTGTTTTCTTCTTCAGTTGGCAGAACTTTATGAGGGAGATAATCATGGCACTGCCAGAAAGACAAATCTTTATCACTAGATTGCATTCATTTTATTATGGCTTCTATACAACAGTTAGCTGAAAATCTATTTCATATTGTACATACCACTGAAATATATAGACATATCAGAAGACCTATTGTAGTGCTGTAAGATAAGCATTCCATCACATTATTGGTTTGAACCACAAGATCGGTGGTTCAAACTCACCAGTCACTCCTCAAAAATCCTATACAGGATCACTATGTCTCAGAAATGATTAGATGACACTCAATAATAACAACAACAACAACATCAGGAACTGGTACTGTTCCTAAGGTTACTAACTGATTCCAGAAAATAACACTTAGAACTTGACACTGAACCCTAAAACTGACATATACTTGCTGCAAGGACTTACCGTTATCTGGAAGTACCACAAATATGAATATAAAGGTTGGTAGGTCTGTGAAAAAGCAAATATTATGTTGCTTTCATTTTTCTTTGGGTGTAGGATATTATTAATAATCAGAATATTCTTCTTTCATCCCCATGGCCCCTTCATTGATGTTTCATTATATTGCTGCTTTAATTTAAATTACGTATAGATTTCCAAAAGAGAAAATTGAAATAATTGACCTATTTCAGAGAATGCAAATTATTTTCAGAATTTCAGAAATTGAAAAGGGATTAGAGGAAGGAGAAAATGCTGGGCTGGTGTGAAGCGATAGCCCGAAACCCTCACAGAATCCCAAACAACACGAGAACACCTGAGATTTCAGGGGAGTTGACGGATGCCTCACAACCATCCACATTGGTGAGTGAAAAGTTATTTTACCTCAAAATGTCTTATATGTAAATGTATGCAAAGTAAATGAGTAATTATTATTGTTTAAAATAGTATTTGCATTTGTATCATACTTTTCATACAGATTCAGTATAATTAACAGCATAAATCAGACATGATAAATCAGACATTAGAAGATCTCAATGTCGTATTAGAGTTTGATTCAAATTAAAGAACTATTCCTTATTTCCATTACTTTATTCTTTATTGGCTCATGTCCTTAAAGAAGATTTTATCCTAGAGGGAACAATAAAAATTACTAATTTTATTAAATCTTGATCCCACATACATGGATTTTTAATAATCTGTGTGATGAAGTGGGAAGTATGTATGAACAACTTCTACTCCATACTAAAATGAATTATTGTCTCAAGGTAAAGCACTTATATGATTGTTTGAACAAACCTTTATGTATTTATTTATTTTTGACCATTGCAACTTAGCTGAGAGTTTACAGAGCAAATTGGTTTTCCACTAAAAATTCAAGAACATTTTGATTTGTGACATTAATTACAATGTATCAGCACTCTTCATACTACCTTGCTGTGTTTACCCATTTCTATTTGTCCTTCTTTCCTATCCTTTCCTGCCTTCTGAGCTTTGCTACTGATGTTTGGTGCCACGGTGTTGGATCTAAATCATACTGACCCTATGTACAACAAAACAAAACCACTGCTCAGTCCTGCAGCATCCTCACAATTGTTGCTACGTTTGAGTGTATTGTTGCTGCCATTGTGTCAATCCATCACATTGGAGGTCTTCCTCTTTTTCACTGATCCTTCACTTTACCAAGCATGATGTCCTTCTCCAGGAACTGGTCCCTCTTTATAACATGTCTAAAGCATGAGTTGAAGTTTTTCTATCCTTGCTTCTTCGGAGCATTATGGCTCTATTTCCAAGACAGATTTTCTGAGCCTTATTCCTGTGCAGTTACTGCCCTTTCGTTTTGTGTTTGGCTATTCAAGGGAGTAAATCCTTTCTTAGGTGTATTGTTCACTTTATAGGCCTATTTGTTCAGCTAATAGTAGCTGATAATACTGAGCCCCAGTAGCTGATTTAAGGGTTAAGGAATTAGTAAGGGTCATCTGGAGTTGGGTGGAAGAGTTGGTCTCTTTTTTTTTAGCTGTGTTTCACATCTTTATGTCACTGTATGCAGGACTTCTTTGTAATCCCTTTCAGAGTTGTCAGCAGTGGTAGTTGAGCACCATCTACTTCCTTTGATCTCAGGGTCATAAAGGGAGTGATACGTTTGGCAGCGTAGTGGTTATGAATCGGGCTGCGAACCTTAAGGCCATCAGTTCAAAACTACCAGCTGCTCCGCAGGAGAAAGATGAGGCTTTCTGCTCCTGTAAAGATTTACAGCCTCAGAAACCCTGTACAGGGTCGCTATGGGTCGGAACCGACTCAACGGCACTTAACAACAACAACAACAACAACAACGTTTGGTCCGTTAGTCCTTTGGACTTATTGTTTCTACGCATCTTTGAGTTTTTTCACTCTTCTTTACTCTGGGTTTTTAAAGTCTAATATTTGAACCTCAGGTGGGGCTCAGAAGCTTTTAAGACCCCAGGTACTCCTCACCAAGGCAGGATGTAGAACATTGGTTTTGTGGACTCTATTATGTCAGTTGACCCTGAGAGCCATTGATATTATGGTCCTGATCCCCCAGACCCAGTCCCTCAGTCTTTCAAGGTGTTTGGTTATGGCTAAGCAGTTTTTCTAACTTGACCCTCTGGCTGTGCTGCTATATTTATGGATACAATTGTAACACATATAAATACATGTGTAGAAATATGCTTTCTGTCAAACCTATGTATATTCATTCTCCTGTTCAGCTTGTATATCTGTGTATACATCCACTAATGGTCATTATTACTGTAATTGCAGAATTTTTATGTAACAGTATTTACCTTTGTTGCCAGAAACTTGTTCTTTCATTGTCTCCTTCCTTTGCCTTGATTGCTTTGTGCTGACCTCCCCCTATTGTATATTGCTTTTACTTTCATCTATGTTAAAATGTGTCTACTCTCTTGTTAGTGAATTATCAAACTTATACTCTGCCACCCCTGGTGACCTTCAAAGAATCTTTCCTTCTTTGCAGAAATAATTTCTTGACTTTTTACAACCGTGGTTGTTGCTAAGTGTCGTTGAGTGAGTTTTGACTTATACTGACCCTATATGGGGTTTCCAAGGAGCAGCTGGTGGGTTTGAACTGTTAACCTTATGGTTTGCAGTCTAGTGCTGATCCTACAGGGCCATACCAAGAGTCCAAACAGTAGTCTAATGCAATGTCTGCCAATTTGGAGTCCTGGTGTAGAGCTGTGGACTAACGTGTCAGACTGCAAAGCCATTTGAACTGCAAATTCGGTGGTTCAAGCTCACCAGCTGCTCCTTGGAAACCCTATACAGGGTCGCTATGGGTTGGAATTGACTTGACGGCACTTAACAACAACAACAATTTCACTCAGCATGGTACCTTCTACATTCACTCATGTTATGAGATGTTTTGTAGATTCATTGTTATTCTTTAACTGCATAGTAGTCTGTTGTGTGTTTGTACCATAGTTTGTTCATCTATCCATCCACTGACAAGCACGTAGGTTGCTTCCATCTTTTTGCTATTATGAATATTGCTGTGATGTACATGAATGTGTATATATATGCGCTCATGTTATGGCTCTTACTTCTCTAGGATCTAGTCCTAGTAGTGGGGTTAATGGATTATGTAGTATTGCTGTTTCCAACTTTTAAAGAAACTGCCACACCATTTTCTACAGTTGCTATTGTTGTTAGGGGTTGTGGAGTCGGTTCTGACTCATAGTACAGGGTTTCTGAGGCTGTAAATATTTACGAGAGCAGAAAGTCTTATCTTTCTCCCACAGGACAGCTGGTAGTTTCAAACTGTTGACCCTGAGGTTAGCAGCCTGATTCGTAACCACTACACTACCAGAGGTCCTTATTTTCTATAGTAGTCAAAATATTTTACAGTTCCACCAGCAGTGGGTGAGAGTTCTAGTCTTCCCACACACTCAACAGAATTAATTCTTTCCTTTTCTCTTTTATAATTTTGCTGTTAATCTTGGGTGAGATGATATCTTGTTTTAATTTGCATCTCTCTAATGGCTAATGATTGCAAGTTTTTTAAATGTGTTTGTTGGCAGTCTGAATATTCTCTCTGCTTATTTTTTTCATGTCCTATGCCCAGTCCTTTAAATCAGATTATTTATTTTTTGCTGTTGAGATACTGAAAATTTTCTGTAGATTTAGACATTGTTTTTTTGTTCAATATGTTGTCAATTTTTTTTTTTTTCCCTTTCTTTAGGTTCTCCTTTTAATCCTTTGGTGTTTTCACTCTTTTAAGTCTTTTGATGTTCATAAATATCTAATTTTTATGAGGTTCCTGTCATGTACTTTATCTTCTGCTGCTTGCGCAGTTTTAATTATGTTTGATATTGTATTTATACCATGTTGTTGTTTTTATTAAGTGCTGTCCAGTTGGTTCTGACTCATAGAGGTCTTGTTTAGGATTTCCGAGGATTTAAATCTCTATGGGAACAGAGAGTCTCATACTTTGCCCACAGAGAGACTAGCAAGCTTGAACCATACATAAGTCTTGTGGTTCGCAGTCCAGTGCTAATCATAGGGAGCCACACACTACCCATTTATATCTTATAATAGGACTTTAAGTTTGCTTCTGTTTTTCCTTTGGTGAACTTTATCGGTTTAGTTATTTTTTTTAGGTCTTTAATCCCTGTTTTTGTTGTTGTTGTTATTGTTGTTTCATTGTTTTCTGTAAATAGATATCAGTTTTGCCAACACCATTTGTTAAAAAGATTATCTCTTCCCCACGTAATGGGTTTCAGCTCTTTGTCACAGATCAGCTGTCCTGAAGTAGATCAATTTACTTATGGGTTCTCAATTCTGTTTCACTGGTCTATGTGTCTGTCATTTAATCAATACCATACTGTTTTGACAACTGTGGATGTCCAGTACGTTTTGAGACCAAAGACTGTTAGGCATACTATTTTGTTCTTCTTTTTTAGTGCTTTCATTATCCAGGTACTTTTCTATCCATGTTAAGTTGGGATTTGTTTTTTCCATCTACTTGAAGAATGATGATGGGATCTGGATTCGAATTACATTATATATGTAAATCACTTTGGATAATATTGACACTTTCATAACATTGTCTTCCTCTCCATTGTTGTTGTTGTTAAGTGCCATCCAGTCGAGTCCGACCCATAGCAACTTAGTATAAGGTTTCTGAGGAGCAGGTTGTGAGCTTGACTAAGCTTGCCAACCTTGCAGTTCAAATGACTTTGCAGTCTGGCACATTAACCCACAATGCCACACCAGGATTCCTATCCATAAGCATGGTATATTCTTTTTATGTAGTTCTTTTTTGGTTTATTGTAGTTGAATTTGTAAGTGTTTTGATAGGACTTTTGTGCCTCTGGTTATATTTAGTCCTAAGTACTTCATCTTTTGGATGGCTATTGTTAATGGTGGATAGTGGGGACCACGGTCTGGTGACTGGAAGGTTGTGTGGAGTAAGGAGGGGACGATATCACTCACCTCTCTTTGCAGATCACACAACTGAAGTTGCAGGTGTAGCCCTGAGCTAGTGGAGCTGGTAATCATGTTCTTGCTCCAGTGGGAATGTTGCTTATAGTAAGTCCACATAGTCATGCTATGCCTGGCTCTTTTATAATTCACCACTCCATATGCTTGCTTCGTTGTTTGCTATTTTCATTCAGCTTCTTCCTCCAGTGGTGTACTTCTTGATTTTTCCTTTAAATCTCTGGGATCCAGGATTGTCATAGTAACCAACTCATTTTATTTCTCTTGTCTTTTTTGTAGACCATCTGGATAGTTTATCTGCCTAGTCTACCATCTTGGAAACAACTAAACCAGTTTTTTAATAGCTCCAGAGTCTTATGTAATGGAGTCAGTGGAGCAAAAACAAATAA